CGGTCGTTGCAATATTATGATCAGAAGTGGATTGCAAGAGTTTAGCAATTGCGCGTTGCAGTAGATCGCATCGTCGGACGGAGAAACGACGCCCTCCGTGGAATACACGGCCAAAGGGGTCGACAAACCGAATGCCGTTGTTGCGCATGTTTACGGAAATTTGTCGGACTGGCTTGGTCAAGCTGCGCCCATCATGCAGGCGTGTGTCAACATGCCATTTCGGTGCCTCGAGCTCCAAGCGTATCAGGTAGAGTTGGATCTCGCGTGATTCTATGCACACTGAGGTTATCGGCGCGAGGGAGATTTTATTCGGCGTCAAGCAACTGGCCCAGGCATGCTGCCTTTGCGATTGCGGCTGTCTCCGTGCACTGTCTATAGGACGGACGTCACAGACGCTGCCGATGGAGAGCGCGTTGATGATGGATCTGATGCGCAACCAACTGCAAAGCGGTGCAAAAAAAGAAGCCGGAAGAGCAGCGGTATATCGGCACGCTCTGCAGCGCGTTGCCACAGGAGTTCGCTGCCGACGCCTTCCAGTGCGATGCGCTGAGATGTGCGATTCATGCGCGCAGCTGCGCCCAAGCGCCTGGGCTTGCTCCAGGCACGAAGACGGGTAGGGCGATCGCCAGTTTGGCAATGGGATACGATGCAGAGGAATATCGTTGGTGCGAGCCGGACCGCGGTCTCAATGCGCCACACTTGCGGAAACCGAGGAAAACGAAGCTCCCCGGTCACGCCCATGATGCGCATGTGCAGAGAACCGCATGCACGAATACAGCGCGTCGCCGTGTTTGTTGATGTTGTCGCGGCAGAGTTGCATGAAGCTGCTACGAAGTGAAAACACATTGCCTTTATGAGTGCCATGCTGATTGCCGCCATCGTCGCATCGTCGCGCGAACCGGCCGCGTACCATTTTTCCCGCGGCAGCGGCGTTCAAGCTCGCCCCATGACCTGGGGATGGGCACCATGCATGGGAATTGTGCATTCGGCTGAGAGGAGAGGCCAAGTGACCAGCGAGTCCCATGGTGGCGGGGTGCCCGTTCCCCCCGGGGAGCGAACCCTGCATCGCATGCCGGCTCAATGGGCAGGGTTCGATAGCAGGAAAGAACCTCGCAATCGACGTGAACCGACCGCCCCCCCACGAACCACCCACGCCCTCTCAGTTGGGGGCCAGTCGTTGGGCGACGCGGTGCATCCTTACCCCCTGATCGTCGTTCGCGGCGTCTTCGGGCCCCTTGTTCCCAACCAACCTGTGTTGTTGGGTCCTCGTTTTGAAGAGACGGTCCCCGCGTTCCTTCCTCCTTCCTCCTTCATCTTTCCTCCTTCCTCCTCCTCTCCTTCCTCCTCCCTCCTCCCCCTCCCTTCTGGCACACCCCTCACACGTTTCGTGGCCCCATAGGGAGCTCCACCGAAGGCCCCAGTGGCTGCGCCCGCATGCGGTTCCACCCCCCATTCTGGTTTCGTGGCCCCATAGGGAGCTCCACCGAAGGCCCCAGTGGCTGCGCCCGCCTGCGGTTCCACCCCCCATTCTGGCCACCCTCACACGTTTCGTGGCCCCATAGGGAGCTCCACCGAAGGCCCCAGTGGCTGCGCCCGCATGCGGTTCCACCCCCCCTGGCACACAACCCTCACACGTTTCGTGCCCATAGGGAGCTCCACCGAAGGCCCAATGGCTGCGCCCGCATGCGTTCCACCCCCCCTTCTGCACACCCCTAACACGTTTCGTGGCCCCATAGGGAGCTCCACCGAAGGCCCCAGTGGCTGCGCCCGCATGCGGTTCCACCCCCCATTCTGGCACACCCCTCACACGTTTCGTGGCCCCATAGGGAGCTCCACCGAAGGCCCCAGTGGCTGCGCCCGCATGCGGTTCCACCCCCCCTTTTGGCACACCCCTCACACGTTTCGTGGCCCCATAGGGAGCTCCACCGAAGGCCCCAGTGGCTGCGCCCGCATGCGGTTCCACCCCCCCTTCTGGCACACCCCTCACACGCTTCGTGGCCCCATAGGGAGCTCCACCGAAGGCCCCAGTGGCTGCGCCCGCATTGCCCCCCCCCCCCCCCCCCGGTTCCACCCCCATATTGGCACACCCCTCACACGTTTCGTGGCCCCATAGGGAGCTCCACCGAAGGCCCCAGTGGTTGCGCCCGCATGCGGTTCCACCCCCCATTCTGGCACACCCCTCACACGTTTCGTGGCCCCATAGGGAGCTCCACCGAAGGCCCCAGTGGCTGCGCCCGCATGCGGTTCCACCCCCATTCTGGCACACCCCTCACACGTTTCGTGGCCCCATAGGGATCTTCACCGAAGGCCCCAGTGGCTGCCCCCGCATGCGGTTCCACCACCCGTTCTGGCACACCCCTCACACGTTTCGTGGCCCCATAGGGAGCTCCACCGAAGGCTCCAGTGGCTGCGCCCGCATGCGGTTCCACCCCCATTCTGGCACACCCCTCACACGTTTCGTGGCCCCATGGGGAGCTCCACCGAAGGCACCAGTGGCTGCGCCCGCATGCGGTTCCACCCCCCGTGCTGGCACACCCCTCACACGTTTCGTGGCCCCATAGGGAGCTCCACCGAAGGCCCCAGTGGCTGCGCCCGCATGCGGTTCCACCCCCCATTCTGGCACACCCCTCATACGTTTCGTGGCCCCATAGGGAGCTCAACCGAAGGCCCCAGTGGCTGCGCCCGCATCGGTTCCACCCCCCATTCTGGCACACCCCTCACACGTTTCGTGGCCCCATAGGGAGCTCCACCGAAGGCCCCAGTGGCTGCGCCCGCATGCGGTTCCACCCCCCATTCTGGCACACCCCTCACACGTTTCGTGGCCCCATAGGGAGCTCCACCGAAGGCCCCACTGGCTGCGCCCGCATGCGGTTCCACCCCCCATTCTGGCACACCCCTCACACGTTTCGTGGCCCCATAGGGAGCTCCACCGAAGGCCCCAGTGGCTGCGCCCGCATGCGGTTCCACCCCCCATTCTGGCACACCCCTCACACGATTCGTGGCCCCATAGGGAGCTCCACCGAAGGCCCCAGTGGCTGCGCCCGCATGCGGTTCCACCCCCCATTCTGGCACACCCCTCACACGCTTCGTGGCCCCATAGGGAGCTCCCCATAGGGAGCTCGGCCGAAGGCCCCAGTGGCTGCGCCCGCATGCGGTTCCACCCCCCACTCTGGCACACCCCTCACACGTTTCGTGGCTCCATAGGGAGCTCCACCGAAGGCCCCAGTGGCTGCGCTCGCATGCGGTTCCACCCCCCCGTTTCGGCACACCCCTCACTCGTTTCGTGGCCCGGGGGCGCCACCGAAGAATATATCCACAATTGCGGTATTCACAACTACGTATGGTTGGGTCTTTCGTCAAGCTATTTTTTTTTGGGGGGGGGGGCGGGGGGCGGAGGGCAACGGGCGCTTTCAGTCCGCTGATTCTTTGATTCAGAACTTCAGGACTGCATTTCTTCTTAGATCGGCAAGCAAGCGTCGTCGACGGCTCCCGCGCGGCCACGGCAGCAGAGCAAGCATGCATCGCCTACCCTGCGCGGAGACAGAAGCAGGGTCGGAAGAGGAGGATCTGGAGAAGGAGGGGGGAGTAGAGGGCGGGGGAGGACGAAGAAGAGGATAATGATGGAAGTTCCTGGTTAATCAGAGCTTTATTGAGCGGCCGTCAGCCAATCCCGCCATCGCGCCTGAGCCGCGACCGAGAAGGTGGTTTCGTGGAATTGCGTTGGCAGCCCATACGTTGCAAATGTTCCTCCTCCTCGTCCTCCTCCTCCTCCCTCGCCCCTCCTCCTCCTCCTCCCTCCTCCACCCCCCCTTCCTCCCGCGTGCTCTCTCCGCTCAGTGGCGGGTGGGAACTGGCCGACGCGCGAGGGCGGGGGCGGGCCCCCAACTGCGAAATCAACTCAATCACGAGAGATATGTATCCCAGTCGTTGGGGGGTCTCAGACTCGAACGCGCAGCAAGTATATCACGCGCCGTCGGGCCCTGCGCTGCGAGCGCGGCCTGGGCGCACGGCTCGCCCCATGATCGGCAGCGATGCGCGCGCACGAGAGCGGAGCAGCAACCTGAGAACATGCAAAAAGGGGACACGAGCCACAAATAATCTCAAAGGGTGGGTGGAGAGAGGGAGAGAGAGAGAGAGAGAGAGGGACAGAGAGAGAGGGAGAGAGAGAGAGAGAGGGAGAGATCCCATATCCTTGCACTCGGGCGCGACCAGGCACGGGCACTTCAGGCACAGCACTTCAGGGCAGGGCGCGGGGGGGAGGGGTAAGGTCGTCGTCATCATAGCTCGTCAAAACATCCGCGGGGAGGACTAGGAGGGGCGGCATGCGAGCACACCTCGCCTGACTGGGCCAGCCCGGCACCCTTGGGTGCACGGGGTGGCCAAAAAACGCAAGAGACGCTCGAGGGAAGGCGAGGAAGCGAATCCAGGGAAACCACTGAACCATAAAACATATAGGAGAGGTCCCAGGGACGGATAAGGATAGAGCCACTCTAGAATCAGAACTGGAATTGGAACGGACCCTTCGAAATGTCATCACTTTCCAGGATTTCATGCATCTGGAAAGCCTTTCTCGCTCGCGGGCCTGAGACGTCCACGGGGGGACATAGCGGCAGCTGGCACGGATGTGAGCGGGTGGGCCCCTGAGGCGCAACTGATTAAGGCTGGCGCTGAGGCTCCCAAGAGGCCCGCTAAAACATGACTAGAACAGCTTGCTCCCCGGGGTTCGCTAGGGACAGGGGAAGCCCTACTGCATCAACTATCTGTTGGAGGCACCCTGCCGCCCTCACGCGCGCCCAGTTGAGCGCAATGCACGCCCTCGCCACCTGCGCCACTCCAAAGCCGTTGAGAGGAAGAAACACCCACAGTATACAAGCACAAACGAATCCGAAGAGGAAGACTAACACAGCGTGTCGGAGGCACGCATCACCCTCATGCTCACACCGGGGTTCGAAATCTTCAGCATCGCGCTGCGAACGATCCACATAGGCCGCGCCATCGGTTCAGACACCACTGGCATTCAAGATTCTCAGCGCCATCTGAATCCTCTTCGTCTTGTCCGTGGGGGTAGCCTTCTTGGGGAAGTGGGCGCCGATGCATTCGCCCACCATCCCAACGACCTGCTTGTCAGACATCACTGTCTTGAGGAGCCTCGTGGCCCCGCCCCAGGAAAGGCGGTGCGGGGCCTTCTCCCCGCGCCCCGCAATGGGCTGCACCCGCCCGAGCTCCGCCCGCATGACGGGCGCCGTGTTCTCTGGAGGTCTGCCACTGGGGTCGGGCTGGCTTCGCGATCTTCTTGCCGCCGTGCGCTCGCCCGCTTGGCGCGCGAGCCTCCGTCGACGAGCTTCGCGAGCTTGTCCCAAAAGCGCGACTTCGCAGCCTGGGCCGCGCATCCCCCTTGCTTTCGCAAGGCCACTCCTCCTTGCGCCACCGCTTGTCCTTGTCGCGCGAGCGGCGATCGCGGCCCTTCCGAGCGAGCTCCGCTCTCAAGGCCTCGACCCCCTCGCGCTCGCGCGGGGCAGAGCGGGGTCGACGGGGGGGGGGCCTCGCCCGCGGTCGTCGCGAGAATCGCGGACCTCATGGACACCGCGAAATCCACGACGACCCCCGCCACGGTCATCGCGATAGCCCCTGCCATCGCGATCTCTACGACGGCCGGGACTGCGGTGCCTCGGGCTGCCGCGATGCTCGCAATAACGGTCTCAATCCTGGTTGAGCGAGCTGCCGCCTTTGCCTCCTTTCTGGTAATTGCCACCACCTGTGCGTGGCCACGGCTGTGGGCGGTCTCCGTAGGGGTCATCCGGTACTTTCTCGGGTGGAATCTTCGCCAGTTCGGCAGGGTCGCTCGAGCCTTCTGGATAGCGATGCGCCATGGGCAGGCATGGGCCGCTGCGACCAAGAGATCCGCAGGGCATCTCAGGGCATGCAGTTCTAGGGGGAGCTCGAGGAGCCAGGCCAAGGCAATCGGGATAGGGAGGTTCATGAACTGCGATCGCGCAAGTCTGCCCGCGAGCAGGGGCGCGACGCGGTCGAGGCCCCCCGGGGGCTTGCCGGGGGCAGTAGGTTGGTTATTGGGCGCGGGGCGCGGCGACCTTCGAGAAGCCACCTTCTGCTTTCATTGTTGGGCGGCATCCGTCAAACATTGGGCCGGGAAAAAATCTCCAGATCCAGCCAAATACACGGGGGCCTAGGGGCCACTAGATCGGGCGCGGGAGAGAGCTTGACGTTGTGCACGAGAGAAAGATTGCAGTAGAAGCGCTTGCTGCAGCACGCTCGACTTGCGCCCAGGACGTCGCCCACAGATCGTCGCTGACCTATGCCGATCGCGCCGGGGGCCGGGGGCGCGAGGACACCTTTCCAGACAAAACGTGCGGGATACTCGCGGGCTTTCAATTCAAAGTAGGCTATCGGGATCGAAAGCGCAAGCCCCGAGAGCACCCCACCAATCGGTAAACCCTGAAATTCATGCACAATCCCACCTATCGTCGCCAGGGAAATCCAGCAGTATGCCAAGAGTGTCGACGTGATGTTTGTGACTAAGATTCTGACATACGAAAGAGGGGTGCCTGGTGCGAATGTGCTCGTTTGGTTGTCCTTGCCTTTCCTGGACACAGCTGCATCTGACCCAAAAACTCGAGCGACTTCGCGGGGTGCTAACATCCATGCTCTACCGATGCACGTAGCGCCACACTGCTCATATTCTGATCTGCATCTGCCACGACAAGTGAGATGCCTTCCAGACTTGCTGACCGACGCTGGCATGCGCTGGCCATTGGGGATCGAGGCGGTCGGTCAACTTTTCTGGCTCAGTGGAGACGTCTTTCGTGCCGAAAACTCCACTGGTACGAAAGCGGAGCCGAGTAGCTCTGCCCACGAATATGACGCCAGTCGCGCCACATGCATCGGCCGAATTCACGATCCCACGCGCGCATATGCGCCCAAGTTTCACACGGCGCCGCGCGCCATCTGGGAGGAAGCACTTGCTCCTGACAGTCGGAAACACGCATGGGGGGAGGTGCTTTGGAAGGGTTTCGGGAGCATCGTTTTTGAGCGGAGCCAGGGGGGGAGACCACGCAGCGCACGCGTCCACAACCACATCTCAACATCGCGCGTTGAACTACCATGTCTGACTTGCCAATCGGGGTCGAGCTCTGCTGTTTGTTGCAGCCCCCTTGCCAAGCCACGCCCATCTGCCACCCAGGTCTTATCCACCTGCTGGTCATTTGCGAATGTTTGATGTAGGTTGGTCTACGCAGGATGCCATGTTATTTCTAGCTCAGTCCATCGGGTAGGCGGAAGAAGCGCAACCGCCCGGAGGCCACCTTCACGCGAATCTCTAAACTTTTGGTCCAGACGAACAAAACGCGCAAGCCTCGCAGACTGGGCCTATTCCAGGAGGCCCACTTTAGCCGACTTCAGGGAGACGATGGGGGCCCAAGACATCGGGAGCCGCCAGGCCCCAAAAAGCTGCTGGAGGTTCAAGGGCCCCGTCACGAACTGCGCAGCTGCAACCGATGCTGGGAGGCACTCGAACGGGACCTTGGCACAACGACGGCTGGCTGATACCTTTGCCCTTCCACGCTCGGCGAGAACAGAACGTGACTCGTGGACCTAGCTGGTGCCAGCCACGGGCTGGGGCGAAACGCATGGGCGACGTCATGCATCTGATCGGTCCCTTGACCAGTGACTGGAAACTTCCTGCATGAAACTCATACGGCAGACAAATGTGGGGTCGTCCAGCTGCTGGAAGTCCGATGGCGCGCAGATGCCTGTCCGCACGCAGCCGCGCCATGCGGACTCGGTTGGAATTGCCCAAGACGTCTTGAGCGAGGTCCACAGCGCGGAACAAGATCACACCGGAATGGTTTCTAGTCATGCACTGTACTCTCGGTGGAGGACGCCACCGAGCTGTCATATGTGCTACCAAAAGCCCTAGCCGTTCAGGGGCAAGTATCCATTGGGGGCCTTCCGTGCCATCGGTGCGGAGGGTATCCCGGATCTGCAGGCAGCAGGATTCAGCGCGCGGGGCCTGTTCGGAAAGGGCGCCAGGGAAATCCTTCAGAGGGCCTAGTCTCATTGCGTCGGTCGTCGCAGTCAAGGAGGGGGTCGCAGTCGCCCATGCTGGGGGGGTCTGTTCGTGGGGGGTCGTCGTCGCCATGAGGGAGGACGTCGTCGGGAGCGTCGGGGGTTCTTCGAGGAATACAAGGTTCCCAATCCTCGTGCGGATGTTTTCGGCTACCTTGGAGTCTGCCTCATTGGCTGAGGGTCGGGACCTTCGGATGGCCAGTGTTTCAAAATGGTAGCTTGCGGCCTCTGTGGCCACCCAGATGATCAGCAAAAAGAACCAAGAACCTCCTGACTTTCGCAACTCACGGTAACGAGGGCGGCTTCCTGAACGGACCCGGGGGTGTAGAAGTGCTCGCACGTGTTCTTGCACCCTACCTGGGAGCCCAGGGTGGTGGCCGTCTCGGAGGCAAGTTTTACGAATGTACAATGATACATGCGAGCCCATCGCATAGACAACAGCACGGTGAGGAAGAAGGGAAGCACCTGGCATACCGAGCAATGCCATATGAACCACTGGACTGCTTCAGTAAAAGATGCCTGCTCGCCACTCGGGTGGAACAACATCGAAGAGCCTGCGGGCCCAGCGTCTGGCGTGCCGAGTCTTGAGCTTCTCGCGAAGTCGAATCACGCCTGAAATAATTAGCACCACCCAGTGGTGCTCCACAAGGCTGCTCCACGGAGCGAACGAAAATTGCGTGGGCGATCTCCCACGAACGTGCAAAAGGAACGCAATGTAGGACGACGTGACAACCCCAATGTGTCGCTGTTCCCGTCGGAACCAAATCCACATCCCGAGTTCCGCACCAGTTCCCCCCATCGTTAAACCAGAGCTCTTGGACAGGGTAGTGTGTAAACAGGTCATCACCTGATGCAGAGGCCGTGGTTGGGCAACTGGGTACGGTACTAAGAATCGTCGGTGCTCCAGCTTCGAAGACTCTGAAGGCATCGTATTATGCTCCTCCTGAACGTCGGTCAAACCATTCCCTGGCGTCGCCCGAGCTCCCCTCCCGCGTAGGATCCCAGTCCTCCTCGGCTAGCCAATCGGGTCTGCCGTGGTCGTTGAGGCCTATCAGTGTTCTTCTTCTCTCTGGTCCATCTCCACTTGGAAACGAAACCCATCTGCCTCTAGCTGCCATATGTACGGACCAAACACTTGATATGTTGATACTTCTCGATCGCTGACTGCACAATCATCATCATCCATCGTGCTTTGCGATACTCTACAAACGTACAGATCGCAGTGAAGATCTCGTGGGAGGTCAGTAGCGTATGCAAGGTGAAGACCATCAGGTCGGAGTAGTTGTCTACAACTGAGGGGGAGGAAGGGGGTACTGATATAAATCCCACCAGCCCTTTAGGGCGTAGGTGGTCTAGAGCGTTTCCTCTGCCAACCCCCTTTCTTTCCCTTCGGGGAGGGGTTTACCCCTCCCCTTACCCCTCCCCACTGACCTGGACGAGGCGTCTCGCGAGGTGTCAGGGCGCCCAAGATGGCTCAAGACGGCTCCAAGAGCGAAAAAGCGAGAAAGCACAAAACATTGATTCTACCTAGGTTTTGGAAGGATTTTGGCCTCTTGGGGGGGCCCAAGAGGCGCTTCGAGGCACTCTAGAGGGGCAACCCTAATTGGAGCTCCCCCCTTCTTTGATAGATCTCCTCCAAGATGGCCCCAAGAGCGCCCCGAAGGCTCCCAAGAGCGCCCCAAGAGCGCCCCAAGAGGGCCCCGAGAGACCCCAAGAGGCCCCCAAGAAGCCTCTAAGAGGCTGCCAAGAGACCCCCAAGAGGCCCCAAGAGAGTTCAAGATGGCCCAAGACGGCTCCAAGAGCGAAAAGGCGAGAAAGCAAAAACATGATTTTACCTAGGTTTTGGAAGGATTTTGGCCTCTTGGGGGGCCCAAGAGGCGACTCGAGGCACTCTAGAGGGGCAACGCTAATTGGGGACCCCCTCTTCTTTGATCGATCTCCTCCAAGATGGCCCCAAGAGCGCCCCGAAGGCTCCCAAGAGCGCCCCAAGAGCGCCCCAAGAGCGCCCCAAGAGGCCCCAAGAGGCGCCCAAGAGGCCTCCAAAAAGGCTCCCAAGAGACCTCCAAGAGGCCCAAGAGGCTCCCAAGACGGCCCAAGACGGCTCCAAGAGCGAAAAGGCGAGAAAACACAAAACATTGATTTTACCTAGGTTTTGGAAAGATTTTGGCCTCAAGAAGGGCCCCAGAAGCGATTCGAGGCACTCTAGAGGGGCAGCGCTAATTGAGGACCCCCCCTTCTTTGATAGATCTCCTCCAAGATGGCCCCAAGAGCGCCTCGAAAGCTCCCAAGAGCGCCCCAAGAGCGCCCCAAGAGAGCCCCAAGAGGCCCCAAGAGGCCCCCAAGAGGCCTCCAAGAGGCCCCCAAGAGACCCCCAAGAGGCCACAAGAGGCTCCCCGAGATACGCAAGAGGCCCCCGGGACCGCCAAGAGGCTCCTACATCCTCCCCCTCTTGGGGCGTATGGCGGCTCAACCCGCTCTTTGTTCTTCTGCATGCTCCCACGCTTCCCTCATGACCTCCACTCCCCTGGGGCTCATTTCTGGACGGGCTGGTGGGGATACGCGAAGCGTCTAGAATTGCTGCACACCGCTCACCAGAGCGGAAGATATGGAAACACAGAAGTCAATCCGCACACGTACGTGCACTTGAAGCGCGTGAACCTCGGACTCCCCGTCGCCACCTGTGACAGCA